TTTAAAGTTCAGCAAAATTTTGTTGTAATTCAATGTCTATCTATGCTTCTGAGTGCCAAAGATAGTCTTGAAATAACATGTTATGATTCTCAAAATTTTATACTAAGCCTTTATAATAGTAAATGCCAATTTGTATATGAAAACTGTCCACTAGCAAAAGTATATGTGTTTATCAAGTATTTTTCCATTCATATTATTTCTTTGCCTTTTCCAATTAAGATGGTAACCACTGTAAGTAATAAAACTTAGTGTGCCTTTCCTTTAAAAATACTTTTTTTAAAAAAACCCAGAATTACCAAACCTACAGATGCAAGATTAAGAAATGTACCTCAATTACCTCATCCATAAGAAAGGAGAAGATAAAACCCACAATTCTTGACCAGTAAGTGATCACAATTTCTCAAGCAGCACATCAGAAACCAAATGAGACTCAACTGCTCAATTATGAAATAGCTTTAGTACCATCTGACAAAAATTACCTCTTATTTTTAAGCTGCAATAAAATGAACGTCCTTGTTCCTCAGCCCTCAAAAAATATCACCTGAAACTTATTTATATTAGCATAAGAAACGATTTAAGGGTCACCTAAGTGTCTGGCATCTTCCAGACTCCTAAGCTGCTGTTCTTGTTAATCGGTCAGTATGACTGATGAGTTTTCAGGATTTTTGGTCTGTACAGATCTGTACATCTCTCCCAAGAGACAAAGTAGAAGCCAAGAGCATGAAAACATTTTTAAGAAGGCAAATACAGGACTATTAGGACACGGAGGGAACAGATGCACAGAAGCAAAGCAGGTTTAATCTTGGCCTTGAACCAAAAGCTTTGCACTGCGGAACACAGACCAAAATGGAAATTCCATCTGCTTGCCTGTTCCATATGTAGTTGACACAGAAATGCCCCACATGATTTAAAGTATTAAACATAGCTGGGCATTTATATTTACTTTCCTATGAAAGTCTAAAATTATTGGTTTTGTTTGCCACTTACCATTACACAGATTGTTCTGAATGAATTATTTGTGTAACTAAAAAGCCTGAATCTCCAATCTAAAATTTACTGTGAAAGGCACTGTGCAAACACTGAATAAGGCAAGTCCACATAAGGTCTGTCCATGGAGTGTAAGTCCATGCCCAAGAGATAGCAGAGAATGGAAAGGTCAGCTAGAAAAGAAACAGACACATACTCACTGCCCAGGTAGACACAGCAAACGGTGGCAGGAGATATAGATTACATTCCCAAATGTCCTATCCCACCATCCCTATTTCTAGTCTATCAATCAAAAATATTTAATACTTGTGATTTAAAAATCCTTTTCAAAATTACCGTAGAAAACATTTTAGGGATGTCAGTTCTTCACAGTGGTTATTTTTCTCACAATATATATTTAGAAAAGTTAAGATTCCTGAGGAATCTGATAATAATTAACTAACTATGCACTGCTGCTTCTTTCAGATATTCTGTATTAAAAATTGGAAGTTTTGGGTTATCGATATCTATGTCACAAGGAAGGAGTATCATGAGTATCATGAAAAATTTAGATTAGAAAGGATACCTAGAAGGTCTTTTAACTCTACCCCCTACTTAACCGAAGGCTGACTTCTACATTATGTCTTGTAGCTCAGAAACCTTTTCAGTAAAATTTTGAAAATTTTAATAAAGATCCTGCAACCTCTCTGGGCCCCTATTCTAGCGTCTTATTGCTGTCATTGTAACGAAAGTTTTACTTAAGTCCAACTAAATCATTCCGGCGAACCTACACTCATTTGCACGAGAGCTCTTCCTTTTGTTCTTAATATTTGGGATTTTACTTTCTGTAAGCTGTAAAGCCCACACAACAAATATTTACCAGAAATAAACTGACCACATTAATGATTTTTCACACAGACTATTTTTAATTACCTTTCTAAATTCTCTTGTCCTTTGATATTCACACAGCATCATGTCAAAGAAAATTGGGATTGTGGCTTTTCGTAGTTCAACTTCTGGAATAAGAGTCATTTCCAAGATGGGTCCAACCATCCCCGGAATAAAGCAAATTTTATTCTGACCTGAAACAGAAATGCAAATTGGATATTTGGGAGGAGAGGGGAAAAAAAAAAAAGGTGGTTGTTTTTTTTTTAGGAAAACATTTAGGATATGCAATCATTTAAAGCAGTGTTAGTCTCTGTTAGTAGTCTTACAACTTAGCCATCATCTCTATTCCTTCTGAAAAGCTGAAAGCATGTTAATGGATATAGTGTCCTTCTAAGATGCCAGAATTCAGTGCCAGAAATAAGCATGTACGCCAGCTGAGTTGACATTTGCAAGTGAACATTTCAGTTTTTCAGCTTTTGACATCTTCTTTTAAATACTTGGAGTAATAACCCTAAGAATCACCCAAATTCTATCAGTAGAGCATGCCACGCGGCAATATCACATGGTATAACCTTTCTAGCTTATCAAAGAGAAAAGCATTACTTGCTTTCATCTCTAATAACATCAAACATTGCAACCACTAAATCAAACCAACCAATGCCTCAAACATTGCAAGCAATAATAAAAACACTGCCTGCAGAACTCCTGAAACCACACAAAATTATCTTGTAGCACAATTGTTACATCAGCTGCCAACAAACATCCAAATCTGAGAAAACCTCAACCAGGTTCAAGATGTTCTCCAATCGCTGCTTGTTTCTTGGGAAGAAAAACGTGATACGTGGAGCAGACCACCATCAAAATACAATGACCTGTGTAAGAATGTCAATACTGCCTAAAGCTTGTAAGGAGATAAAATATTCTTATGAACAAATATGACTAGACTTGTTCCATAACTAAAAAATAATCTGATTCTGATTTTCCTCTCATATGGGTGCCACACTAACGTAACTCCAAGCATAACTGAAGTACAACTTCAACAGTTTTATGCAACATAATTTTTTCTTCCACTCACGTTGATCAAGATCATTACTAATCCTAGTTGAATCAGCAACGTCAATAAGATTGAAAAGAATCTTAGAAGGACTGAATAACTTCCATTATCTGTATGTATTAGACCTTTTAAGTCTGTAATTTTGGAAAACCACAGAAATTCCTGTATTATGTAGCTATCCATTCACCTCAAAATCTTCACTCTCCTGAGTGAGTTTTTCCCTCAGTACATCTTGACAATGCCTTGCTGGAATTTTTGCGTAAGTAACAAAACATTCATTGAAAGAGAAAAGGAAGATGTATCCTTCCACACCTCAGAGAAGCTAAGGCTCAAGTTCATCTTCAAAATCAATCACAAAAACCATCTTCAATATCCTACAAAATAGCTTAATTATCGGGTTATTGCCTATTTGGTGCAAATCATAAACTGGAGACTTCATCAGCCCACAGAAAGAAATAACATCTTTCCATCAACAGAAACTTTCCTGCAAAGTCTAATTGAAATAACAACTTTTTAAAAAATTGCCTAAAAATTTAAATTGAAAATTCTGCAATCAACTCACATCATGAACAGACCATAAAAACCTGGTTCATCTGTACACATTTACTTTGCTTAGCAGAACCTCGAGATCAATAAATTGAGTTGTTATGCAGTTCTTCACATTCTTCATATTCTGCTTGTGACTACTTGGTATTTAGTTCAGAATAAATTCTGCCTTCACATTCACTCCCAACCAATCACTTTAAACTGACGGAATGGCTGTAAAAGGCTTTTCCTCTGTCCTCTCTCTGTTATTACACTGATGAAATCTAGTCTTTTCATGATTAACTGTCTGAAATTTGACATTCAGCTTGCATTTCAAAGTATAATCATAGGTCTCATCATTGTATATTTCAAATAACCTCTATAATACATATTTTCATAGAACAATACATTATTGTTGCCCCCATGATGAACTCTCAAAGGAGCAGTAGCAGAACATGGCTGTATAACAAATGTAAAAACATTTTGGAATTTTAATCCAAACAGATTCCAAAGCTGAGCCTACTGATTTCTGGAACTGTAGATTCAGACTGAGCAGTGAGCTTCTCAGGGAAAATTTATCTGGTTCTCAATTTCAGCAAAATAAGGTTTCTGAAATCTGATTTCAGCCATCTTTGAAAGCTGAGAGAAGTTTGTGAGTTCTCTTAGAAATAAAAAAAATAGGCAGTAGTCAAACAGTATCTCATGTCAGTTCCAAGTTTAATCACCAGAGTGAAAACGTATTTTAAGTTCAAATAGCAGAAATATTTACAAAAGCACTTCATGTCAGATGTTTTTCAATGAAACAAGCAACATGCTTCAGTTGCAATTAAGTTCATTTGCCTACTCACCAAGTTTGTACCACATGTCACGGATAGCAAAGCCAATTAAACGTCTCATATCTCCATATCTAGAAAAAAAGAAATATGAAAAGTATCTTTATCATTAACTATCATCATTTTACTACAAAATTAAACACGTAAGCTGAAGTATACATTTTTGCTTACTTGCTCTGGATTTTGTTGTATTTTGCATGAGAAAAGTTTTCTAGCTGTAGTGAATCTTGGGTAATAAAAGCCACAGCCAAATGAAAATAGTTGTTCCACAGCTGTAAATTGAATAAAAGGAAATTATAATAGTTTTGAGAAAAGCAGGAATAATATTAAACTAAGCATAATGCTGAATAATTTATGAAACCAAATGATGCAAGCAATATGAGATTTTTATATTATGTGAAGATGTACATCATTAGTATTACGCAATTAGCAGAAAAGTAAGAAAGATGAATTTTAATAACCACTACTACACATTTGCTCTTAATAACACAGCAGCAGAATAAATATTGCTAAAAAAAGATTCATAATGAGATTCATTAGCTACCAACATTAAACCATGAACCATAGCAGGACTAGCGAGATACATTACCTGCCAGTGAATCTTAACAACTCAGAGCTTAAGGCATCCAGTGTAATTACACTGTATTTGAGAACTACTTCAAAAGGCATCTACTGTCTTCTCTCTGGATTCAAATTCAACAAGGATTTGTGTGAAATTCCACTAGATTTTGTTAAGAGCTCCCTACATGAAATAAGGACAAAATACATCCCTAAATAACTCCGATTTTACCGAGTCATGTACTTGAACTAGAAGAAAACCCCTTATATTTTCAGTGTACAACCCTTTGTTTCTGAAAGCAAACTTCTTGTTCTCCAGACAATCCAAATGAAGTACTTCTCTCACATGCTAGAGATGAAAAGGGAAAAAAGAAACTTCACTAGGAAACACAAATTCAAGGAAGTAAATACTATTTTCAGAAGCTTCTAAGCAGTCAGCAATGGCTTTAAACACTTCTTTTAAAAATGTAGCTGCATCTAAAAATATGCGTGGTAGGTATCAGTGAGACGGTACAAAGGCAATAGGAAACGTATTCAGTGGCAATTTAAAGGATGGAAACAAAACATAGAACATTATTAGAGCTCTTAATTTTGTATGCTGAAATACAACCCTGGATTGGGAACCCCCACTAAGCAGCCTAGAAATAGAATGTTTCACCAAAAACTTAAGTGACCTCTGTCCTTTATAACCTGGAAAACTCTCTTGTCCACAAATATCCAGGAAAAGTAGATACCAACACACAAAACCATACACAAAATTAGAGACCTTTCCTATAATAAATAAAATTCTCAAACGTTCTCTATAACGTGAAGATGATCCTGCCTTTGATTTATTCCTCCCTTCGAGGCCCAACTAAAGCTCTCCTTAGCAGACTTGCTTATTTAAAAGCCCATAGGAGGGCTGTTTCTGTCTAAGTATTTACAGTCCAGAGAACATAGTTATCCCTGGTGCAGATCCACAGACTCAAGTAGCATTTCACTGGAGACAGTTATTAATCTGTTACATATTTACAGCATTCAAAGATGCTCTGAATTCACCCAAACCAATCACAGCCTTATTAAAAACTACATTTGAATATAAGCACTAGTAAGGCAGGAGCTTTTTTCCCCCCTGTAATACAAATATTTGAATTATGATCATATCTAATTTTTGATAGTATACTAATAGTACATACTAATTCAGAGCATTTTTCCCCAGGATAAATGTTATTTATGCCCTGAAAGTCCTTTTTTCCTCCCTTACCAAAGATTTTAAAAGATTCATTTGACCAATTTAGAGTTTCAGTCCCTTGAGAAGCTGTATTTATTGATGTGCAGGGAATATATTTTGCATATGCCAATTACACCAGTAAAATGGAAAGTTTCTCAAATTGTTGTAGATTATGGGGAGAAGAATGAAACTTTATTACTACAGTTAATGGTCTATTTATTCACTTAATTCCTAGTTGAATGCCACCTTTGCCAGAGACACACCCTAAAGACTCAATATCCTTACTTATAAAAACACATTTTCTTTCATCCTCAGAATACCCTATGATGGCTGAAAAAAATATGATCCTTTGCATTTCAATAGCATAGTCAAGATAAGGACTTGCAAGCTTTTAAGTACCAAAACTAACTTTAAAACACTGCGAGGCAAAGTAGCGTCTCTCAAAGTAAAAAATGGCAAAAGCCAATAGAAGCAGATTTTTTAAATGCAAAAAAATACACTTATGAGACCTGTTTCATTTTTTCTTAAACCAAGACGTTTTGCATTTGAACATCCCGTTATCTAGCACGAGTAGGGCTGAAGTGAAGTAGGACAGTGACAGCAGAGGACCAGAGCTCTCATACTCTGATTTGCGCAATACGCACGCTTTGCTGCTTGTTGACATGAACTCCAGGGCCAAGTTGTCAGCTAGGGACAGAGTACTGGGAGACAAAGCTAGAGCTGTGAGGTGACCCTTCTCTGTAATTAGTTACCAATTATTCATTGCAAACTCCTGCTGAGATGCAACACCTGACAGTAACGGTCCAGCCTGGCTTACTATGTTTTAACACTTCAAAACGTGTTGGCTGATCGTGGTGAGGGGGTTTCTCTATCATCAGGGCCAAGTGAATTTAAAAGGATGTCTCATTCCATTTTATTCAGAAAAGATGAGGTGCCTTTCCCCTAGAAAATGTGACAGCTGCCCTATTGGAAAACGTAGAACTAATTTAGTAAGAAATGTCTAGCCATCTCACAAAGAAGAGGAGAACTGGATGATTTTTCAGGTTAAGTACCAAAAGTGAACACTGCTGCCGCCTCCTTCATGCAGCCTTTGAAATCAATGCCTCTCTTGCACTAATGCCTACATTCTAGCCATTGTTTTCTTTACAGACAGCTTTGTTCAATCCTGTTTGATAATGTAGGAGAAACATGAAGTCTTTGGAAGACTTTGGAATTTCTGACACATTATTGCAGATACTAAACGTACTCTAGCATTTCATAAAACCTAACAGACAAGATGACAGTTTTGTTTAATTTTTTTTTTTTTCTGGAAATAAAAGCTGAAACATAAAAGCAAGCTCAGCCCCTTGAGACCAGCACACATGACACATTCCAGATAGATACTGGGTTGATTATTTTGATTTTGTAGGAAAATGGCACTTATAAACTTTCTGCATGTATGCGTGATTGCAAACTATGTGTAGTTACCACAGCTATTGACCTAGGTTAGCTAGAAATAACCTTTTTGAACCTTTCAATAACATTTCTAAGAAATGATCCCTTGATTTCCAGGATATATGGCATTGTCAATATGTGATTTTACCCCAGTAATGTTCTCTTTCGCATAAAGGAATACATTTCTTCATCACTTAAACCTAAATAATTTAAAAGAAATATCTATTTGTTACTATTTTTGTGAGCCTTTAGAGTACAAACAATTTTAAATAAATGAATAACAACTTGTGTTTTAACTAAATTGCTTAATTGGATCAAGCACAGATACTGAAATTTTATCATGACTTCTTAGATGCTCCTGAGAAGATAGATTACTTTAGATTTCCATGTTTTGATTAGAAGGATATGCAAAAAATTTCCAAATAAGTGCTGCTCAAAGAAAATTAAAAATTAAAATATATATATATATTTGATTGAGGAGAGGGCAGAATATTAACTTTTTCATTAATCTCCACAGGAAGAAAAGATAGCACACACAGCCGCAACATGCAGTCTCAAAATTCTGAGCCAGCATTCATGAAAATTATTCTGCATTGTCTTTTAGAACATCATACTAGAAAAATATGAATTGCTCAACAGAGGCGTAAGCGGAATGTGAAGGCTAAAATTCAGAATAACTCACTAACTGATAAACATTAAAAATTAAGTAAAGCAAGCATTGCATTCTGTTTAAGTGGAGTCTTAACAAATATCATTTTCAGAGTTACAACTCATAAATTCTGGAAGTTACAAGCACAATATTTAGGGATTATTCCTATGGTATGCAGACTGGTTCATGACAGGTGAAGTGTTTACTTTGAGGTGGAAGAGAGAATATTAAGGATCTCAAAGTAAAGAATTAGGAAAATCCCTTGGGACCTCTGCCAAAATTTCTTTGCATTGTTATGTACTTCAAAAGGACAGAACAAGGGTAGAAAATTTTCAGGTTAATGAAAGTAAGTTTACAGAAGCTTTGAAGAAACACAGCACATTATATAAACCAGCAAAAGTTTGGTTTGTTCACTTTTAGTCTGTAAAGATTTTCATGTCATAATCCCATTCTCTCCTTGGTTTTGTCATATGCTTCTTGTTTAATGATGAAACTTAAGTAAAATACTCGCAGATAGCTTCTACTCCAGCCATCTACCATTCCTATGTTGGAAAACATCCCAAACCTCTAAAACAAGGCACTCCGAAATCCAGTAAGAATTAGTTTCATGTACGCAAAATTTTACATAAGTTCTATCCTGTGTGTTTCCATTCTGAGCAATGAATCCAAAGTTCAAAGAAATTTGTAGATGAACATCAAAAAAATCAATTACTTACCGTAGGTCACTCATACTAAGACCCTGCTATATGTTGGTAAAAGGATCAAAGATGAACTGTAAATTCTGTAGTCTGGAGATTTTAAAATGCACAATATAATACGTAATATATAAAAACATAATATTTCTAATATTGCTAGTATAGTTAATACAGTTAGCTGAATTTTCTAACAGTCGCATTATCTATTAACTTCTGCATCAGCCATCTTGTAGGGGTTTCTACAATGTCTATCACATACATACATACATTTTTGCACAATATAGTGCCTATTTTTCCCTTGTATATTTGTAATGCAATGACACTTCTGATTTTGGGGGTCCTAACTGAAGATTTAAAATGAAAAATAAATTGTGCAATTCTGTTTGTAATGCTAAAATACATTTCATTACTGCTGAGTTATTAATGGTGCCTAGTGCATGCAAGAAAGATAGGAAAAAGACAAAAAAGAAGAATTTTCTTTTAAATCAGAGTGACATTATGATGGAATGTGGACTATTCCTTTTATAATAAAATTCTGTGGCAGGAATATAGATGATTAATATGAAATTATAATTGCTCTAACAGTACAGATTTAGAAGTATAATCCTTTCTAATGCCCTGTACAAATCACTGCTCACCGATGGGAAGGGTAGGAAGGAACAGGAATCAATAGCATTGTATTTTCCAAACTAGAAACTCTGTGATAGCTATGCCTGACCACAACAA